TATATTATATATATATATATATTTATGTACGTATATTGTTTTCTAATTCCACTAGTAGTATACACAATAGTATCTAACAAGACTTTAAAAGTATCTAACAAGACTGTAAAACTTCTATTTTACAGAAAACAACGTTACCACAAATTGCGATTACAGCGGCGTGTTGAGTCAGGATCTCGCGAAAGCGCGCGTTCTCTTTCCGACGATCGCGTCTGTAATCGGACGTAATAGCCGCGCTCAGGTGACGCTGCTCGCGAATTTCTACGAACTCGGAGGAAATTCCTTGAATTCAGTTTACACCGTAACCAAATTGAGAGATCAGAATTATCAGATCGGGATCACGGATTTTATTACGGCAAAAAATTTGGCCGAGGTGCTGGACCGCATGAAGCTCATATCTTCCGACGAGGAGCCTCTGAAAGAGACGCTCGACGATCAATCGTACGTCTTTGAATTATTGAACGATTGTCACAAGGAAGACGCGATCCAGTAAGTTTGGTGAAAAATTGGAGATTTTTGTCTCATATAGTGGTACACGCGCACTTCGCGATTGAGACCCGCAGGGTGTTACAAGATTTGTTCAAATTTGCAGGATAATCACAGAGAGCTTTTATTCAAAAGCCGATTTAGAGCAGTGGTTGATGCCGGACATAACCAGAGCCGATTATCGAGAACTGATGGAGGTCATGTGGAATCCTCTCGTGGAGGCTGGTCTGAGTTTTGTGATGAAGTCGGCGGAAACCGGCAAAACGATCGGAGTTTGTCTCAACTTTGATCTATGGGACGAGCCCGAACTGATACTGAACTCCAAGTTAACGATCGTTTTCGACTTTCTCGAGTACCTAGAGGGGCCGATCAGAGATTACAAATTGCCGAAGGGCAAGGGACAGATTATTCACAATTCAATGATGGCGACGAGCGCCGACTTGAATCCTGCGGAAAATGTACTCACGATGAGACAGATGGAAGAGTACTGCCTGCAGCTCACCAAGCAAAAGAAATACGTCGGTATCTTCACCACGAACACCAGTCCTCTCACACAGGTGATAAATTGAAATCACACAATATATAAACTGGCGATATAAAACGCGCGAACAAATATAGAACTAAAAACCTATCTTTACAGCAACTCGGTACGGACGTGTACGGTTACGAAACCATGCTGGTGTATCAAGTTAACAGATACGAGACACCCAGCGGGAGCAAACCTTTCGGCAAAGCACCCGATGATCAAGTGGCAATTTGCTCGTTGAAGATGATAGACTAAAACGATTTCGCATATTCAGTAGTAACTGTTATCGAATAGAAACATCAATCGCTGTCATTTATCAATGCGTTTCGTGATGAGCCATCTCATATGTTTATAAAGACCAGATTTTCAACATATCTTTCTCTGTTTTCTTTCTATTTTTATTTTCTACAAATATCATCGACAAACAAATCGCGTGATATTAACTGAATGATACGGTTCATGTTGTTCGCTCAACTAGTTGTTCAATAAGTGTCGTTATTTCATATTTACAATAAGCAAGAAAAGTTTTGTATCACTTATTTAATTACCTTAGCTTATGAATCTTTAGCTATTTATTGATATTTGCGTGTACAGATGCGATAATTTCGAATACTTTATCCGGGTAGCAATTGTATTCAAATATTCGCACAACAGCCAGCGAAATATATTAGTTATCAATAATTTAATAGAGAATTTTTGTGGCTCTGAGTTTCAAACAATGAGCGTGTGTAAAACGGTCAATAAAGAGCCATTCGCTGGATGTTATTTGCGATAATATTCGTGTATATATGTGTGCACATATATACGTGTTCACGTGTAAATCTTACACGTGAGTTTTTTATTGAGAATTTTCAATTCTAAAATTCATATAGGATGCTAATTTTGCATCTCATATATGAGAGACACCAAATACCCCCCTAATTAATTTTTTAAAATATTGCGAAAAAAATTAAGACTTAAGGCTCGTTGAAATTGTCAACAAGAAATATATAAGGCCTTACGAGCCAGGATGTTTGTGCGGAAACTGTGCGTGTATATATATATATATACACATGTAACGAATTCTACTTGTAAATTTTTACAAGTGAGTGTTTTTTGAATTGAAATCTCAATTCTTAAATTCATACGGGATGCTGGATTTGCATCTCACATATGAAAGACCCCGGATATCTCCCTAACTAATTTTAAAATATTTTAAAATATATCCTGCGAACGGCTCGTAAGACCTTATATATTTCTTGTTGCGAAAAAAACTCTTCAGCCAGGAGTCGAACCTGGAATCTCAGGCTTTAATAATATTATATAGCAAATAACATCCAGCTAATGGCTCTTATTGACCGTTTTACACATACTCATTAGTTATCAATATTTGTTAGTTATCAATATTTGTTAAGGCTGTTGTGTTATATTGTACAACTGTGAATATATTGTACAACTTGTGAATATATTGTGCAACTAACTGAATATTGTACGATGACCAAGCCGTTAATTATTATTAGAAAACAATGTGATTAGATTATTTCGTCGTTATTGAAATGTTAAATTCGAAAAATCTGTAAATTTGTACATATAATTTAGAGCAGTGGTTGATGCCGGACATAACGAGAGCCAATTATCGAGAACTGAAAAAGTGCTACGTAGGACAATCAAAATCTGATCGATCGCTATCGAGGGGGACCGAAGGTTGGAGATGAAGATACGTCGATGGACGTCGAAGAAACCGCATAAATATAAGTTGCAATAACATGTAAATTTGTAAATATACACATGTACGCATGTAAGCAATAACCGTGAGGATACTCTGTATAGTATAGTTTGCAAAATGATAATAATTGCAAAAAAAAAACACTAAGTAATAATTAGTTCTGATAATAGTAGTACACATATAAAAATTAATAAATCAATAACAAACACATCAAATATAAAAACAACGACATGTGTACAAATATATGACATGTAAATTTGTAAATATACACATGCACGCATGTAAGCAATAACCGTGAAAATACTCTGTATAGTATAGTTTGCAAAATGATAATAATTGCAAAAAAAACACTAAGTAATAATTAGTTCTGATAATAGTAGTACACATATAAAAATTAATAAATCAATAACAAACACATCAAATATAAAAACAACGACATGTATAATACAAATATATATTATCACCATCAAATTCTAATAAAAGCAGCAAATCAAGAAAATCATTCAACGATGTATGATTGTCTTATTCCTTGTTTGCGCCATCGGAAATCAGTGCGATTATTATAAGCGGACGTATGCAAAGTACAAATTGTTCCTTTTAACAGTATTAAATACAGACCTATATATTTTTGTATAAATTGCACAAATAAAGTTTTTTTGGAGATTTAGTATATTAACAATAATAAAATCTTTTTAATCAAGTAAATAAGTTAAAGTTGATTACAAATATAATTTACTTATGGATAAAATTATACTTTGCCTATAATATATAATAAAAACGAAAAAACTTTCTGCTAAAAGGAACAAGAGATGAAAATTAATTTTGCAACTCATATTTATGCGGTCCCTTCGACGTCCATCGACGTATCTTCCTCTCCAACCTTCGATCCCTCTCGATAGCGATCGAACAGATTTTGCGTTGTCCCGCGTAGTCGTAGCGCTTTTTGTCACTCGCGACGCGGAAGACGCGAAGTATACACACACGCGAAATTGAAAAATACAGTTTAAAGTTTATACTTTTTTTAAGTCCACATGTTAATCTCCATCGCCTTTTTTACACTTGAATAATTAAAACCGGAAAATGAATTTTGAAAATAAAGAAATTTGCAAATATAAAATTAAATATCGCGTATTTCTCTAAAATATAATTTGGCAAAACTCGAAAACTACCACTAAAACATATCGAATAAAGAATATTTTTATATCGGAACGAGTGTTTCGGTTTATGTCGATAAGTGATCCATTATGTGCGTAATATTGTTACGCGAGGCTCGTGTGGCTTTGCAGTGTATCACTGCGAAGATGGTCCCGCAGTTCAGGTTTCCAAGAATTATTTCGCTTTATATTCAAGCGTATGATATTATATTATTCCGAATCGTATAATAAAAAATGTGACTTTTTATCTAATTTGCATTACTTCGAAATATCGCGACTTTAAATATATTTAAATATCGCGAAAAAAACTCACTTAATCATTGCAAATATGCGCGACATGAAAAAACTCGGACTCAACATTCGAAAAGTCGATAAAAATTTATCTCGTGCAGAGAGCACTCAGATTTCAATAAATACAAAATGGAATATTTTTAATGTTATTTCTATCTCTCGTGATTTTGTAAAAAATTAAACAAAATGAATCTACTATTTTTCGCGGAATAATCGCGATTTAACTCGAAGACTTCGTAATTTGTTTGCGCAATTCAAACGTTGATTTTGACAAAGCGGACAGCATCTTCCGCTTTGGTGGAGATTGAAATATCGAGAACAAGTTTCCAAAGATATGTAAAACACACACATGATCACATTACAATGATATATGTATATGTAAAATAGGTGTTATTTAAAAAGCGGCAGAATGTTTTATATTTGTTTTACGATTTTTATATATAGATTTAAGCATAACTATAATTATTGCTAACTAATTTATAATATTTTAATATAAATTTAAAATGCATCATAATTATATGTATGTCATAACGAAATATGTTCAAATTATGTGCTCGATATTTCAAAAAATTCGTAAAAACATACATCTATACGCGGTTCGCACTGATTTCAACAACCACCACCACAACCCTAAAGTTGTACTCACCGAGCGCTGGCCACCTTCGGCTACACACCACTCTGTAACAAAAAAGAAAATTTTCTCATTAATTGATTGAAAATAAAGTTTTGATGTTTACTTAGATATTAAAATTTGACTTTAATAAATTAAAGCTTTAAAATTTTCTTTAAAAAAATATATTTAATATTTTATTGCGCATAAAAATGAATATAAGAACAACATACCTTCGTGCCAGCATCCCATTATCCGAACTGGCTCGTCCGGTGCCGCAAACTTCTCTCTTCTGCGTGAACGATCTTTTTACACCTAAAACAACCAAACACAGAAGAAAATAAACAGAGTTAGCTATAAGAAAAATTATTCAATTTCTCAATATAAAGTTCAATAAATTCAAGTTTTAAAACAAAAATGTTGTATTTTGTTGTAAATATGACACTAACCCTTGAACTGTCTTCAAATAGCCCGAATCGGTTCCTCCGGTACCGCAAACTCCTTGCGTGAATTATCATTTTGTATCTGAAACAACAAAAAGCAAAAGAAAATTAATAAAGTTAACAATAGAAGAAATTAGTAAATCTCTAAATTAAGTTATAATTCAATAAGTTCAAATTTTAAAACAGAAAATATATTATTGTGTTATATTTTGTTGTAAACTTGCAAATATGACACTAACTTGTAAACTCCTTTCAGATGCGATTTACCGCAATGTTCGCCGATTATTATTCGCGATATAAATTATGTGTCGAATTATGCGCGTACATCCGTCCACTTTTCGACACACGCGAACTATTGATATTCGCGAGCGAGACGATAACAAACGCGAGAAATAGCGAAACAATTTCTCCGTGTCGCGCGCCGGCCATTTTGTGTCTCGCGAACGCGCGAAATAATTTCACCGTAAAACTCGCCTGTATCGTTACCGATGAGTGCGCGATACTACTTGCGATTACTTTGAACGCCCGACACTTTGTAGCACATACATAGTATCGATATTTACGTATGAGATAACAATAATCGGTTAGAAATACTTGATAATTTGAAGAGAAGTTCCGCTCCGCGTCGCGCGTTCGTCACGTCTGCCCGCCCGGAACGAGTGTATCGAAGCGCGCGATATTGCGATTCTCGAAATATCGAATCGACGCGCGTAACAGCGGCAGAGCAGAGTTGCAAGCAGAGGGTGCGTTCAGACAACTCAACGGTTGAGAGATCATCACTTATGATAGGACTATTCTTCAAAATCTGCTTCGGTTCCAAAAGTATGATCCAATCAGAAGTGATTATCTCTCAACCGTTGTGCAACCGTTGAGTTGTCTGAACGCACCCAGAGTTACAAGATCGAGCAGAGAGCAACGAGAGATTGAAGCGGTGGGGACACGCACACAAGCGAGAACTGCCATCCGTGTGCGCACGCGGAGGGCGGTTCTCCCCACCGCTTTGATCTCTCGTTGCTCTCTGCTCGATCTTGCAACTCTGAAGGGCCTTCTACAATGAGATATTAGTAATAAGTCAGAAGTCAGAAGCAAGAAATTGACCAATCACAGTCAAATCACAGAAGAATAATCGATTGTGATTAGTCAATTTCTTGCTTCTGATTTCTGATTTATTACTAATATCTTATTGTAGAAGGCCCTTGATACAGCGGGATGACCAATGGGTGCGTTCAGACAACTCAACAGTTGCACAACGGTTGAGAGATAATCACTTCTGATTGGATCATACTTTTGGAACCGCAGCAGATTTTGAAGAATAGTTCTATCATATAAGTGATGATCTCTCAACCGTTGAGTTATCTGAACGCACCCAATGATTAATCAATTCAACGAGACCTGCTTCTTGCGCTTAATGTAGAACGGGCTTTAGGATTCATTATCCATTGAGATTGAGAGAAAATTGTGGAGAAAGTGCACGTACGCGTGTGCACTTGCTGATCAACAAAGAGAATAAATGACAAATGTAACCTTGTTTTGCATTCGCGATAAAAAATAAAATTTAATTACTAATTTGTTAATGTAAATGTACATATATTTTTTCCAAAATGTATTTGATATGAGACAATTATAATGAATATTTGATAATTTTGTATACAACGAAGAGAATGCTAATAAGAAAATACTTGAAGATATTGTTTTTAAGAGTGTTAAATTGTTCTTACTTGTCAAAGTCTACTACAAACAGATCAAAATGGCACCATTGACAGATTTACTCTCTTGTAGTATAATAGGTATAAAATTTTATACTATATTATTTTTTACATTAATATAATATACATATTTTCACACAATGTGATAAGTATTTACATTGTCCTTAACACAGAATAAAACTTGTAGAGAAGGACTGTAATGGAGATGTTCTGTGGACGTGGTCATATCCATCGGTAACAGACTCTCAAAAAGTTGTAGTCACAAGAAAATGCAATTTGAAACTAGAACATAATTCTCCCCATGTGTTTGTATGTGCAAGACATGGCCACGACTGGTTTTACATACATTGCAGTGAGGTGTTTGACTCTGATAAGTTACCAAAAGTAATGATCTATGTAATTTACTCTTTGTTGAAAACCATTCTCATTGTATACTCAAGACATTGTTGTGATATATCTTATTGTTTTATGATTTTCTTCTAACTTTTTAAAGGTAAAACAATTTGCACTGGTTCTTTTTGCAAAAGATTTTAATCCACAAAAATACGAAGTGCTCTCGAGAGTTCTCAGCAAAATGTATTGCAAAACAGGCAAACCAACAGAGATCTTGCAGTTGTACCTTTCTGTGTTTACAAAAGGATCGTGTTCTACACAAGAGAACGGAACATTTGTTTCCGATGATTTTAATACCCACCGTTTTACAGCCAGCACCAATGTCAGAGAGTTGATTAAAACATTTGAATTGGAAACAATTTTGATATACACTTCTCTCTTGTTGAAAAAGCGAATTATTGTGTATCATCACAGCTTGGAGCAACTTCTTAAATGGATAAGAACATTCCCTGCATTGATGAAACACAGAAAAGTCACTGACAATCTCTTTCCCTGGGTTGATTTAGTAAATGATGAAGTAACTGAATTAAAGGTATGTATTTGATGTAAGAAATGATATAATTTTAAAATAGACTGCATAATGTTAAGTTATTGTTATACATATTATAGTTGTTTTGAATGCATAATATCAAGTTATTGTTATACGTATTGTAGTTGTTTTGAATAGGGTATAATTGTTATTGTAGAGATACTCACACTATGTGGCAGGCTGCAGTAATAGCTCAATATCTTTGAGAACCGATATGTATGATCTGCTTGTAAACATTCCTGCTCGAGAAATTACTATAGCACCGCATGCGAAAGGTAATATATCAAAACCCTTGAGTCATTTCTGTTTGTTTCCAATTACAAATCAAATATGTATTTTAACATTTTATTTGACTTTTCTTATCATTCTAGAAAGTCTTACAATGACAAAAACTCATAAAGAGATAGCTTTATTTATGGTTCAATTGTGTGAGAATCAAAACTACACGGAAGCGCAGATTATCTCTGAGATAAATGACAAAACCCAAGATCTTTTGAATCAGTTGACTTCGTTAGCTACGGTCCAAACTCCCGACGGCAGAAAAATGATCTCAGTCGAGATATTTAGAGAAAAGAATCTGGCACCGGCTGTAGAAAGTTTTCTTATTAATTTGGCCATTGCTGAGAATCTCTTTATGTTGTGATATGTGCTTTTCTCAAAATCAAAATCTCTTTACGAAATAATTTAAGATAGTGAAAAATAAGAATAAAAAAAATGTAAGATATTCATTATTGATGAATTTTCTTATAATTGTTTTGATCTTTTTTTAAGATGATCGCAAGTTCTTATTCTTATTGGACACTGTCTTAGATTTTGCTATTGTATTGTTACGTGTTTTTAAGAAATATTTATACAAATATAATATAAAAGATATAAAATGTAACAAGAGTGTATTTTTCATGTTCGATTGAGCGAAAATGCAGATTTAATTCTTATCCAGTTCTACTCCGTGTCCGCCAATCAAATCGACCGCACTCGCAAGCTTCTGATTGGAGATTGTTTGCTTATAAAGCCCGTTCTACATTGATCGCAAGCGCAAACGCAAGGTATTTTCTCGTAGAATTGACCAATCACGCTCGTCAATTGGCTGATTTGATCAATACGATTAGTCAATTCTACGAGACCTGTTTCCTTGCGTTTGCGCTTGCGATCAATGTAGAACAGGCTTAAAATAACAAGCTCCAATTTATACGTCACAAACATGGAGTTTAGGCCTGGTTTATGCGGACAAATAAGGCCTTGTTTAAGCCTTGTTTATGCGGGTAATAACTGTTAACTTATACCGGAACTGGTACAGTTCAACTATAGGATTTCAATGCTTCTGTTTATACGAAATTGGGAGCGTTCAGACAACTCAACGGTTGAGAGATCATCACTTATGATAGGATTATTCTTCAAAATCTGCTGCGATTCCAAAAGTATGATCCAATCAGAAGTGATTATCTTTCAACCGTTTTGCAACTATTGAGTTGTCTGAACGCATCCATTGTCGAATGCGTATAAACAGAAATATTAACATCTTAGGCTGGATCCTCATGCAGACACCGAGCGTTGATTGGTGAAAAGCGGATGGTGAGGATAAATGGCAGCTCTACAGAGGCGGACCGTTAACTTTGGGGGCCTTGGGCTAAAGGTCATTCTACATAAGACGCAGACGCAGGTCGCAGGACGCTGATCTCGCGGAATTGACCATTCACGTTTGTCAAATCAGCTAATCGACTTACGTGATTGGTCAATTCCACGAGAGCAGCGGCCTGCGACCTGCGTCTGCGTCTTATGTAGAATGGCCTTAACACTGTTTACCCGTGCTAGCACTTGGAATTATTTTTATGGCAAAAAAACGGTTGATTTTGCCGTTTATTTTTAATCACAATGGGGCCCCAGGCTGCAGCCCATAAAGACCATACCTAAATCCGCCTCTGCAGCTCTAATTTACCCTCACCATCCGCTTTTCACCAATCAACGTTCGGTTGTCAAAGCGCCGGTGTCCGCATGAGGATCCGGCCTAAGGCCCGCATAAACCAGGCCTTAACGTTCCCAGGTCTTAAGGCGAATTCACGTAACGAAAAGTGATTGGCCGAAGTGAAGCTTCTTCCCGCGCAAGGGATTATTAAAATGTTGCTCAATCACACCGAACAAGAGCGATTACATAACAGTTAAATGTAATCGAAAAATCTTGCTCCCGGCTGCGTAATTTCTGATCCGAAAACTGTTCGCGTTCGATTTCGCGATTTGTTAGCGAACGGTAATTGCGAAACGGTGTATTGACCAGCTCGACAACCGGAAGCCATCTTTCCTCCTCGGTGTGACCGCCTTTCTCATCCGGTACACGCGGTCGAAGTACATTCTCCTTTAAGAGCTCGCTCACTTACGGAATCACACGTTCGACCGCACGGTGCGTTGCGAGCCATTTTCCACGCGGAATCGTTCGTTCTTGATTGGGAGTGATCCAGACAGATCGGTGCTTACGTTTTTACTTCTCGCACTGAAACGAAAATCGGTGTTTATGCTAATTCGAGTAGAATTTACGTGAAGAAAACATGGCGCGATACGGTCAGCGACCAGAAAACGCTCTAAAACGAGCAAATGGTATGTAATCGGTTTGTCATTGATGTGAGATTTTGCGACACGTCCGCGATGGCCGTGCTTCAACTCCGTTCGGCAAGAAAAAGGCGTGAAACACGTTCGCGCGACGAACACGTATTTTTCTGCTCCATTAATGCGAAAGCTCCGATTAAAATCTCGAAGGCGTGTTGAAACACAAAATTGTCCGCACAGTGGTCCGTAAAGTCCGTCGTCACGCCTTTCTCTTTCGACGGAGTACTTTCGAGCTATTGATATCCCTGTGTTCACGATGCTCTTGCGATCGGTTCGATTCGTTTACTCGGATAATAGAAATCTTCTCGCGAAATTGGCCGATCGAATCGAATCGAGAGCCGAAAACTCGCGATCGCGGACGCGCGAGGCTTTGCCACGTGGTCTCTCTCGTACGCTGCTTTATTTAAAAACGAAATTTTACAGCCATTGACGTTTATTATCGCCGAGCAGCCAAAGTATTTATTTCCAGAACATTTACGAGCATTCGTTGAAGCAATCTAACCTCTTTACTCTCTCCCTCTATTCTCAAGTTGCTTTATCGATGTTTCGCTCAGTAAATTCATTTTTTTTTTTTTTTTTTTTTTTTTTACAATTAGGTTTGTTTCCGCAGTTGAACCATCTCATCTCAAATATTGATAAATGTACGATTATTCGACGCGTTTTCGCGTAAAACCGCGAGAAATCTGGTAGAAAAAAAAAAGCTTCGATGCGCTCCTCGGAGCGAGTTATCGAGCGTTGAAGTTAACGAATGTTTTTCAGGTTAGGAAAATTATTATTGACTTGGTTGTGAGCATCGTGAGCGTGCGCTGTGATCACGTGCCTCGTGTATTTTGAGCAATTCGCGCTGATGCTCCATATCTGAAACAATCATATATTAAAAACTAGAATTTTACAAATTTTTATATAAATTTAGAAAAAAATATATAAAAACTACCGGCATAATAGTTTTAGCGTGGAAACTTCGATTTGTTTAAAAAATCCATGTGGAAAACTATGTGCATTTAGAGACTCCATTTTTACTGTTGTTTTATTTTTGTTAAAAAAGAATTTTACGTTTCAAATCTGGAACATTTATACTCCAATGCATGTTTATATGTGACTACATTCCTCACATCACCGCATCCTGTTGGAATAACAGGTTTTACTAACTTTTGAAGTCCATATGTTTATTTAATAACTCACTTTATGAGACAAAGCAATGCTTTGTTTTATCAGATTCTTTTGTTGTATGCAAAAAACACATTGAATAAGTATAAATTTATCAATAAATTTGAATGGCTAAACTGCACATATTAATTATTGTAACATGCAAATGCTCATTAACATTTGAAATGATATTCTTATATTTTTTCTCTGAAACAGAGTTTATCGAGGTGGGGAAACCAGCTCGAGCGTTAGATACGTTACAAGAAGTCTTCCGTAATAAAAAATGGACGTACAATTGGTCAGAGTCTGTGCTGGAGCCCATAATGTTCAAGTATTTGGACCTTTGTGTGGAATTGAAAAAATCACACATAGCGAAAGAGGGCTTGTTCCAATACAGAAATATGTTTCAATCTGTCAACGTTGGCAGTTTAGAAAATGTGATACGCGGGTATCTGAGAATGGCTGAGGAAAAGACAAACGCAGCTCGTAAGCAGAGTCAACAAGCTGTGATTGACATTGACGATCTTGATAATCTTGCCACACCTGAGAGCATTCTGCTCTCTGCGGTCAGCGGGGAGGATGCACAAGACAGAAGCGATCGTACCATTTTGACACCGTGGGTGAAATTCTTGTGGGAATCGTACTGCCAATGCTTGGAGTTACTTAGAACTAACGCCCACGTAGAAACTCTTTATCACGATATCGCGCGTATGGCCTTCCAGTTTTGTCTTGAGTATAATCGTAAGACTGAATTTCGTAAATTGTGCGAGAAATTACGAAAACATCTCGAAGAGATATGTAAACTGCCACCGCTTGTATCAAACGTTTCTATGAATAAGGCAGAAACACAACAGTTAAATTTAGAGACTAGATTAAATCAGTTGGACTCCGCGATACAAATGGAACTGTGGCAAGAAGCTTTCAAATCCTCGGAGGACGTACACGGTATGATGAATCTGTCCAAAAAGCTTCCCGTACCAAAAACAATGGCCAATTACTATCAAAAGTTGGCTATGGTCTTTTGGAAAGCTGGCAATTATCTATTTCACGCGGCCGCGTTGTTCAAGCTTCTGCAACTGTCGCGTGAAATGAAAAAGAACATGTCCTCGGAGGAACAACAGCGAATGGCCAATCGCGTGTTATTGGCGACATTGTCGATACCATTGCCGTCCGCACATCCTGAATTTGATCGTTTTATAGAGACCGACAAGAGCCCGTTGGAAAAAGCTCAAAAGCTCGCGACTCTCCTGGGTCTCTCGCAACCGCCGACACGTTTGTCTCTGTTAAAAGATATCGTTCGTTTGAACGTCGTCAATCTCGCATCGCCGCAGTTACAAGAATTGTACTCGTGGCTAGAAGTAGAGTTTCATCCGTTAGAACTCTGCAGCAGAGTCGATTCCGTTATTCAGACGTTGCAGGCGGACGAGAACAGCCTGTTGGTCCAATATATTCCCGCGTTACAGGACGTGACACTGGTACGTCTAGTTCATCAGATTTCTCAAGTTTATCAAACCATACAATTCAGCAGACTTCTGGAACTCGCCAAATTCACGACAGATTTTCATCTGGAGCGTCTTTTAGTTGACTGCGTGCGTTACAACGACATGCAGATCAGAATAGATCATGGCAAGCTGTGTGTTCATTTCGGTGTAGATCTCTCGGAAGCGCAACGAGAGGATCATCCGGACGGTCCGGTTTTACAGGCGATGCCGTCCGAACAAATACGCTGCCAACTTGTGAATATGGCAACTGTGTTGCACCGTGCCATCGGTGTAATAAATCCCAATAAAAAGAAACTCGAGCGCGAGAAGATACGCAGCGCGATGGTCGCTCACTATCACGAGACCAAACTAAAAGAACATCAAAGAATATTGGGCCGACATAAGATCATCGAGGAGAGAAAAGAATACATCGAACATATTAATACGGTTCGCGAGGAGGAGGAAATGCGTCGACAGGAGGAGCTCCAGCGTCAGCACGTGTTGGCCGAGCAGAAACGGTTGGAGCAAGAACGCGAGGAACGCGAGCGGAAACGTCAACAGAGCGAGATTCAACAAATCAAGGACCGTCATCTTAAGGAGAAGATGCAGCAGATCTCTCAGACCAGTCACGGGCAGAAGGTGCTCAAGAAACTGGACGAAGACGAGATCAAAAAGCTTGATGCGGAGCAAATCGCGGCGCGAGAAGCCGAAGAGTTGCAAAAAGAACGTAGGGAGATGCAGCAGAAGCTCAAATCCCAAGAGAAGAAAGTCGACTATCTCGAACGTGCTAAGCGAATCGAGGAAATTCCTTTACTGGAAGAGGCTATGCAGAAGAAGATGCAGCAAGCGAAACTGCTGTGGCGACAGCAGGAAGACGAGCGAATTGCTGCGGCTATCGAAGAAAGACAGGAAGCTGTTGCGACTCAAGAACGTTTGGCGCGTATGAAAGAAGACAAGGACGCCTTCCTAACCAAAATCTTAGCCGAGCGCAGAAACGTGTATCTAGAGAAGTTGAAGGACTTCAACAAGCTGTTGAACGAAGAACGCGCCAAACGACTGTTGAAACGAAAAATGGAACGCAAGGCTGAGAGGAAAGCGAAATGGGAAAAGGAACGCGCGGAGGCAGCGGAACGAAGACGTCTCGAGGAATTGCGTATCAAACAAGAAGAAGAGAAGAAACGTCTTGAGGAGGAAAGAGCTAAAAGGGAAGAGGAGGAGAGAATCAGACGAGCCGAGGAAGAGGCGAGAGAAGCCGAACGTTTGGCTAAACTCAAAAAGCAAGCCGAAATTATGAGAGCGAAGGACGCCGAGGTCGAGCGCAAATTGGAAGAGGAACGACAAAGAGATAAAGAAATATCATCAACCTGGCGCCGTTTAGACAGAGATCACGATCGTGATAATAATCGTGAACGTGAACGTGAACGTGAACGTGGGGATCGGGATCGGGATCGGGAAGCTCCTAAACGTAAGTATATTACATTTTTTTACATCACTAAAATAAAATTCTCAGATAGTCGCGGTAAATACAAATATATTCACATTTTTTCTCTTACATATTTCGGAGCAATATTTTTATAAATGATATTAATGAAATTTAATTCGTTTCTTTTTCTTTATTAGCAATGGAATCATGGCGGCGCGCAACAGAAAAAGAAGCGGACGGACTCAAAAGCGAGACAACAACAGACCGCTGGAGAAAACGCGATGACAAAATCGAGGATTCGTCGTGGAAAAGAAGAGAACCGGAACGACGTGACACAGACAAATGGAGAAGAAACGACGATCCGGACAGATGGAAGAAAGACGCGGATAAGTGGAGAAAAGATGATAATACGTTCGACCGAGAGAGAGACGATTTAAAGGATCGTGATAAACTGGACGGTCGCGGTTTCGATAAGAAAGATGACCGCGATCGTGAACGTGATCGCGATCGCGGAATAGATGGGCGTGGAGTAAGTATATATTTTTCGTGTACTGTATATTGTTTTATAATAATCTATTATATAGTAGTAGAGTGACATTTAGGAATATGCAAGGAATATGTTATCAGTTAATCAGTAATTACGATGATAAAAAAATCCGTACAAAGTTAACGGATCATCTTATTTACGCGATTCTTTACGCACACACTTGGATAGTTAAAGAATAAGAATTACAATAGAAATTACAAATTTATTACAGATACGAGAGATTCCGCGCGACACAATACGCGACGATCGTGATCGAGATCGCGGTCGTCTTACCGATCGTCGTGGTGGTGGTGGTGGTGGTGGCGGTGGCGGTGGCGGTGGCGGTGGCGGTTATCGTGATCGTCGCGATGAACCGTCGTCACGAAATACCAATTCAGATTGGCGAAAACGTGACCCGCCCCAAGACACTCCTAAAGACCTACCCAAGCGAGAGTGAGTATTTTTCAACAGTAAATAATGTATTGTTAAATTGAAATTTTACAAATATCTTTATCAAAATTTTGCTTTGTTGTAATTTATAGATTACTCAATCAAGCTTTTATCTGAACTTTGAATTTCTATGATTTTTTTTTTTCAGGCGAGACGATCGTAAAGATGACAGACTTCCGCCCCGATCCGACGAGCGAAGGCGACCTTTGGAGGATGATGGATGGTCGAAAGTCAGTCGGCGCTAATATCAAATCCAGTTAAACGTTATATTAGCGCATTATATATATATATATATATATATAAATATAAATATAAATAATTAATTAATTAATTAAATATGTATACATTTATGATTTTGTAAGAAAGCTATTTGTTTTAATGTACGCTAAAATAGACTTTTTATGAATATACGGAAGTCTGTTTCTATTTATATATTGTTTTCGTATACGTGGTTTTATTTTTCCAGACAACAAAAAAAAACAGTGCGCCGAGTAGAGCACAAACGTTAATCCATCGTGTTTCGATTTACAGTATTCGCGAATTTTACGGAATTGCATCTTCGCTCGCGTGATTTTTTTTTTCTAATATTAATTATCTCATATATATATATATATATATTTATATTTATAATATTTATTAAGTAAGATTTATAGTGGGAATTGGAAAACAAAACATATTTTGATTAGGATCGGGAGAATGGTCGCATTCATCGGAAACGTAACGCATGATGTTCTTCAATAGTTGCAAGTTTTCACACTTATGATGAAATAGAGATAAGCATTTGTTTGTTTATTATTGATTGTAAAAACAATACAACAGTTGAAAAACAACATAACGTGCTACGTCCTGCTGAATGTGGTTATATTGTATAAAAAAAAAAAAAAACGGAAAAAATGGCGGCGTGACACTTGTGCGCACACCTTTAATATCCAATTTAGGATGCACATGTGCACCCTTAACATCCAATTGACTTAACTAACCTAACCTAACCTAACAGCAAAGATTATATATATATATATATATATATAAATAATATATATAAAATTAATTAAAAATATCAATAAAATTCGTCTTATATGCTTATATATGTTGTTCGATTTTTTATATTAATCCTATATCTTGCATGTAAGTGTTTATGTAAAATATTTTTTTATGTACGATTGTAATTTTATAGTTTCTTTCTACGTATAGGTGTGATAATTTTAAATGATTTGTGTGTAATACGCGTAAAGTGTTATTTAAAAATTTTAAATTTGTGAAATAAATTTTTTTCACGATATAAGAACGAAGAGATTAACGTAAAATAAATATACCACAGATATTCGGTATATTGATACTTCAATTGTGTGTGTACTTTTCTTCTTGGGAATGTACAATGTATGAATTTCGTCTCGCGGTTTTACTATCACATCTCGCGACATTGCCGTGGCAAATATTGTCCTCAAAAAGCGCAAGTGTTTGTTTATGTTTTATGTTTACACACGGTATTTACCGTGAACGTGAATTAATGAAATAAATTACTATTTGTGTGTGCAGAAACAATATCAAAGAATAATTTGTTGATTTGTTCTTCTCTGTGTGCAAAAACAAACAATTTGAAAACGGTTTTTGTTCTCTCGAAGAAAACACACACCACGCTTGTCGAATATCCATCTCTTTTTATTTATTTGAAATAAAGTATTATTATCGTTTGTTTTATTAGCTCAGTCTAGTCAAAATAATCGCCAAAAAGAAAAAAACAATATGTTGCTAAAAATACAAGATGTTAAATATTTACGAAATATTATAATAATTCGTTTAATATTAAACGTTTAATATTTTAACGAAAAATATTTAACATCGGAGGAGCTTGACACATTGTTTTATCTCTAAATATGCGTGAGCGTTCAAATTCACACATTTTTTTTCTATTTGGCAGCGTGTATTATTCACATACACTTCTGTATACGAATGTTTACATATACCACCAACGTAGAAATCTAAGTCCAAAGCGACAATTTGTGTCTCGATTGCAGCTTTATATGTTTAAAAACCTGTATAGATTAAGTTAATAATATAAGAAGCGTTTTTCCATAGCTCGTCTATTTTTTCGCCACTTGGATTAGTACCAAATAGCACTTTTTTCTTCTTTCCCTCGTGAAACAAACGTACCGTTTCGGCCGTTAGATATTTAGGAACTGCGCGAGTCACAGGTAGAGATCTGCATACATTATCGTAGTCACCGTTGAATCTCCGTTCAGTTAACTCGCGTTCAGAGTCCTCTCTCTTTCTCTCTCGGTATAGATAATATCGTCGTCAATTCCTTTCGGAACTTGGCGTGGCATTAACGCGCGTGCTCGTATAGTCTATGCGAATTTTAACACCGTTACGCATAAATAAACGTCTAGTATAACATTATCGCCGCAGCTGTTTTTTCCTCGAGAGCGGGTATCGGTTCCAGGCGTTCGTCCTTTTCTCTACCCGATCCCCAACCGATCAACGCTATGCTGATAAAATGCACAACACTGGCGCTGACAACAAACCTGAGTGAAAAGAAAATAAACTTATAATCGAAAACATTAAATCAAATAAATTATTCAAATTTTTTCTTTTTATCACGTAATAACCTTCTTACCAAAATGAATAACCAAGCTCAGCGGAACCCTCGCTGGTCCACATATTGTCGATGTCCTCCTTCGGAAGCACGTTTACGTACAGTCTTGTGTAATACTGCGCCAACCAAGTGCATGTGCTTGCTAAGCACATTAATACTGGAAAGAAATCGCGAATAAGAGCGCGTGGAAGTGTATTGTATTTTTTTTTTTTTTTTTTAACGCGCATTTATACGTGTATAAACTTCGTATTTTTTAAAATGTTTTACGAATCGTTCGAGTGTTCACACGGAAAAAAGATGAGAATAAAACTCACTTCATATTTTCTTTATAAATTATAAAAATATCAAAATCCCAGTCGATTTGCAACGCGGGTCGGAAAGCAGTAAAAAAAAAAATGACAATTTGATTTAAACTTGACACACATACATATTACATGTCGAGAGAAAACATTTTTTTTGCGGTTTTTTTTTCCACGAATACGTACGCGTTAACATATTTATGAAGTACACGCCGGGGATAGAGAGAATCTTCGATCTCGGTGAAGTGGCCGTGTTCAAAACCGCTAAGAGAGCAGCCATCGCGGCCGCTACCAGGGCAGCCGAGGTTGTTGTCAAAGTAGCGATCCAAAGAGCCCAGGACATCACCGACGGATCTTGGCGAATCATCTGAGGGACTGAAATATCATGCACGTTTACAATAATAAAGAGAAAACAAAGAAGTTTGCTATGCACACACACGAAGTCGACTCGAGCACTTAATTTTCCGTGTCAAGAATATATCTTCGGTAACTCTGGAAGATTCTTGACGTTCTTCCCGTTGAAATGCACTTCGCGGAAACTAAAAGCCGCTGCTATCGTATTTTATATTCGCGCGCACAACGTACACTCGGGAAAGAGAGAGAGAGAGAGAGAGAGAGAGAGAGAGAGAGAGAGAGAGAGAGAGAGAGAGAGAGAGAGAGAGAGAGAGAGAGAGAGAGAGAGAGAGAGAGAGAGAGAGAGAGAGATTGAGCATAAGTAGGAATATTTCGCGTGCATTACGCGCTTCCAGGATACGGCGAAGTTTCCGCGAGACATTTCAACTTACAACGGAGTAAGTAACGGATCATTGCATTCGCCGTAGGCGACCGCCAAGTTTCGCCGAGTATCGCTCGACGCAAAAACTACCTCTTCCCCGCAAAAGTACTCGAGTACCTACTCGTATCTACGAGTCGTACCGACAATTGCGATTTTCTTATCGTCTCGCAAGGTGTGATGACTGAAATTTATCATTTTAAAAATTCGCGAAGAAAAATGTCTCTAAAATCATCCAATTTGTTGAATATTTCAGATACTTGCGATGTCTAGTGCACAGATGCTGCGCGCGTTCAAGTGTAATTATCAACCTCTTTCTCTCTCTCTCCGCGATTTCGTATAAAATCGATCGTGTACTAGAATTCGATACTCCGCGCGGTCAGCAACGCCTGATGATACGAGCAAAGCGCGCGCGTGAAAGTAGTCCACGAGTAGGCTCGCGCGATCGTTGATTTTTGTGCGCGCGGAAACTAGTTTCTGCGTCTATTGTTACCTCGCGCGTTATATACTCGTGTAACTCGATGACTCTTTTTTTGTTGTTGTTGTTCCGTTGTGTGTATGTAACGCGCGCGCACACACACACAAGAAAGAACATGCATCGAGAGAGTTTCCGGCATTCAATATTTATAAGCTCCGCGGGAATAATCTGCGATTTGGAAATGAGACGTAATGATAGTGTTTGCAATCGCGAGCGCGATCGCGAACGGTGATTATCTTAATGTAACGTGACTGTGACGCGCATATATATCGATGAATCGGCACGTTATTACACGACGAGAGCAGAAAACGATGATTGATCTCACGTTTCGATAGAAGATCTTCGTGTAATTCAAAGCATGTAATTTGTACGATTCAAAGTATGTATATACATATAGAAAACTCTGTGCTGTACAATGTAGCGAAATCACAGGATGTCTTCTCGGCTACAGATGTTTCGAACGCAGCGTTGAATCTTATCTCCTGTTCCAAGGCGGTCGTACACAGCAAAAAATCGTGCGTTCACATGTTCGAATTTTTTTGCGCTAAGTTTTGATTATTACTTCAATGTAAAATTAACGTACACAACTGATGACATGTAACTGACATATAATTATAAAATACAATAAGCTTCAAAATTTAAATTATTTAGTCACTATACTATTGACTAAAATTATTATTTTTTTTTTCGCAATATTTTAAAAAATTAGTTAGGGGGGTATCCGGGGTTTTCCATATGTGAGATGCAAATCTAGCATCCCGTATGAATTTTAGAATTGAGATTTTTCAATTCAAAAAACACTTGTAAAAAATTTGCAAGTAGAATTCGTTACATGTATATATATATATATATATATGTACACGCACAGTTTTCGCACAAACATCCTGCGAATGGCTCGTATGGCCTTATATATTTCTTGTTGTTAAAATTATTTAGTTTCTATATTATTGACTTTATTTTAAAAGAATTTTATATCGTAGATAAAAAAAAGAATTAATAATGAGGAATAATAACGATTCTTTGTCTCGAGAGGAAACGTCGGTCGTCAAAATTGGATCAAAAGACTGTAGTTAAGAGAATAGTTTGTGTAAGAGATGTCTCTCTAGAAAATTTCCCTTGCTGTATATATATCGCCGAGAAAAACTGCACGTTTATACACGTGTTCTTTCAAGACTCATTGCCTGCCCGAATGAAAGAGAAATGTGTTTCTCACGGCGCGTGCCGGTGATTCTGTTGTTCTTCTCTCCGGACGGAAATACGGCGCGTAATAGCTACGCAAAAGTCGCTTCATCATCGGCACGATTATTATGCATTGTGCATAGGAAATTTACTCTTTTCGTGCGTGATACGCAATATATATATCGCACTTCCGCGAAGTTCAATTGATGATGCGAACGTGGAAACAATTGTGAACACACACACAAATTACAAAGATTTTTCTCAACAACAATAAATTTAAATATGCACAAATTTATATACAGTGACACGCGAAGATTCGAAAAGTCGTAAAAAAAGTGATCTGAAAAATTTTACTCTAAAAATAATTTCTAATCGCAATGAGATCGTCAGTTTCTGAATCTTTTTTTTTGAAGATTTCTGGCAAAGGATCACTTGCCTGATATATTTAATAATTTAACACACCGCGGTACATATTCTTGAAATAAATTTTTTGCTAAAAATCCTCCTGCGAATGCTCTAAGACGAGCTAGGTACCTACGTTAGGAGGAGCGGACTACTGGAACTGTTTCCAGTTGAGTGCTTCGACCGCCATTTTGCAGGCTGGTTATAGCACGATAACAGTTCCTCCTTGTAACAACAATCTTGATTAGAACGAAAAAAAGAAAAATAAAAAAGAGTTTACGCGATCCGCAAGAAAATGATTTTATTACAAATTCAATAACAGCGCAATTATACTTCAACAAGTAATTTAACGTTTGAGGAAAGAACGTTTGTCTTTTTGTTAAAGTAAACGCGTTTACACTCGGCACTTCGCGTGCATTAGCGAACTTTATTTTGCTAATTGTTCGTGCTAAAATCTATCGTGTTCCACCGGGTTTGTGATCGGGTTTGTATTCTACTATCGATATTTCGAGCGTATTTCGACATACACAAAGGGTGTGGCAACGCGCTTCATCTCGCAGTCCACGACGCAATCCTCTCGATTGACACTCGTAACCAACGGAACGAATTTAACGACAATTATCAAATCGATGATTTATTGTGAAACGTTTATACGACCGCGCATCCGCGATCAGTCGCGGGGTATATCGTTGGACTCCAACGTACTCGGTGGTTATCAATCGGAGATTTATAGTTCTGCCGCATACACAACAGTGTGTGTTCAGTCATCCACATACCTTTCTCTCTCTCTCTCCATATCGCGGATATATCTCTATGCGATCGTAAATTCGTCGCACGAGAGCCGCTTGAATCACGCGCAGTTCAAAGTATTCGGACTGCATAATACTCGACGCTTGCACACGATTGCGATTTGCAAACGTATCGTGAATGAATAAATCACACCGGAACGGATTAGAACGATCACGTCGGAAAATAAGCACGTTAAGAGGAAAACTGGGGGAAAATTTATTCTGTGAAAAATCGGCGAGTTACGACAAACAATTTTATGTTTTTCGTGGCAAAATTAAAAAAAAAAAAACAAAAAAGAATTTTTCTTTTCGTTCTTATACAATGAAACACGAAAACTATAGATATACTTTACTTTCGTGGAAAAACGAGTGGTCAAACGGGTCTTGGTACGCTTTTCAATTTGGTATACAAAAAAATATATACTTTTATCTTCGCGTGTTTGTTTACTCATAATTGTTTGTACATTGTAATTCAAGAAGAAGGTGCTCTTCCGTGCAAATTTCCGACACTTATTTTAAGATCGCGAATTGCGGAACACCTGGTTACGTTATTGCAAGCTCTATGCGAAGGTTGCAATCTTAGGGTAACGGTAATGTCTTGCATATCAATGTTCCGATCAGAATGCGTGCGAATTAATCTGACGGCATACCATTCAAGGTTACGACACGCCGCCGTAAGAGAGAGATAATCATGCAGTTATGCAGTAATTCGCGATTACTCAATTCCACAGAGAGAAAGGCGGAAAGTAGCCAACATATATGTATATATATATATATATACCTGATATGTGATACGTCCGCCATCCGTAAGCGACGTTTAATTCTTTCTTGCCCTGCAACAGGCCGAAGTGGACCTTGCCGGCGCTCTCCTGAGGATTCGGCGTTCGCCACGGTCGCGCATCGACCCAGTGTTGGGTCACAAGAGCGGCGCAGACCAGTCCGCCGCCCAGCAATGACAGAAAGAACGTCGCGAAGATCGTGCCCCGTCGAAACATCGACGTCATCCTCGGATCACGGGATGACGGTCCAGCTTTCGGATAGTTCGCGAACACTGCGGGCGAAAAAACCACAAGACACAGCGTGTGTTAAAAAAAAAATAATAATAAGAAATAGTAAAAAGTTTTGACAAACTTTTCTAATTCGGTAACTTTAATTAAATGTTCAAGCGAAGATTTAATTAAATGCGGTTTTTATACTACGTGCTGGATATCAAATATCTCGGAGCAATATAAGTTTTAATCAAACTCTTACTTGAAAACGGAGAGTCGTGAGAAATAAAATATATTGTTATCTATTTAGCAGCTGTGTTCGGCCGTTGATATCATTTGTCTCTTTTTTCTATTTTACGTCAAATCTCTGCACGTTTCTCAAGCGTGTGTGGTTCGAGAATTATACAGTCCCCCCCCCCCCACGCGGTTCGAGAGATATATTCTTTTAAAAATATTTATTCGAGAAAAAAAAACAATCGCGCATTTCCTCCATTTGTTCGTGCCGTCAAACTTCCTGCTGTATAGACAAAGAAAACGCCGTTCATCCACTATTATTCCGCACGTGCGGAAAGCAAACGTCTTCGCGATCTCGCGCGGAGCAAAAGAGTCTCGCCTCGCTGCATCTTATTAACATCATCCGTGCATTACGCCGCATACACACGCACGTGAATCTCCCGATAAAAGCCGACGCGCGGGATATTTCTTCGCTACCGTCGAAATAACAGTACACATTTGTTTTTTTTTTTTTTATTTTTTTTTATTTTTTTTACGTCGGAACACTTCGATCCTTCTCGCGAAACGCGGAATGAAATCTCCGGCGCGCGCTGCTCGAGAGGTATATCTCTGTGTGATCCTTCCGCGTCGCGCCGGAGCAAAATCCGAAAGGCGAGAAAATCCATTTCAACAATTGAAAAATCGTAGAAACAATTCGACAACCAGCGCTTTTTTTTCATATTAATCGCATTTTCTTTTCGAGATAACGATTTCTTTATATATGATAGTTGATAATTTAAATATTCAATAATCAGTATTATTATTATCAGTTGTTACTGCTACAAATGGAGAGATTATACGGGGATTTTTATTTTATATTTTTATGTTGACTCTGAACTTGTTCTTTTTTTTTTTTTTTAATATTTCAACTTTCGAAACAGCATTGTTGTAGCTAGTTTTTTTGTCTCTTCCACGTATATTTTCACTACTCATTTAACCGACCAGAAATGCGCGCATATTTCCAAGCACGCGAGAAAGAGAAAGAGAGAAAAAGAGAGAGAGAGAGAGAGAGAGAGAGAGAGAGAGAGAGAGAAAGAGAGAGAAAGAGAGGACGAAACGCGCGCTCATCGCGCAAGCATCAGTAATTTGCTTGACGACAGTTGCTATTTAAATTATGCCACACAGAAACTATGTCGCTTTCGCAACAATTATCTCGTCCGCTAGAAAAATCTGCGGGCGTGAAAGCGCCTTGAAAGCGAAGCATCCCGACAACGATGGGCGCTTCGATATATTGTATTTCGCGCATATATCTCTTATGCAAAAAGCAAATTTACCGGCATCTCCGTTTTACGCATCAACTCTCCGTTAGAAAAGATACGCGAACGGACCTCGGTTTTTATTAACATCCGCAAATAGCAATCTCCGTAAAACTCGGAGATCGAACTTTTAGATCGAAGTTAATTAGCCGTATTTATCGACACTTAATTGACGAGAGAGATAAGTTTTAATAGACTTGATTCTCTCTTTCTTTCTTTCTCTCTCTCTCTCTCCCTCTCTCTCTCTCTCTCTCTAATGTAATTATATACTTACGTTACGTACTTTCATTTACATGAATAAAATCGATTTACATGCGCCATTTAATTGGCAGCATTAATATACAACGCCGCGGTCTTTTATCATAAGAAAATCATATCACGCAAGATTGAATATGTAATAATAAAAAAGAAAAAGAAAACACAATACGTGTTATATTAAACAAAGTGATGCGAAAACGCATTTTCTCAAGAAAATAGAGAATATGAAATTTTACTTTGTCTGAGAACAAGCTCTCCTTACGTTCTTTGTTAACCGAATAGAGAGAGATCGTGTATATAACTAACCTTGACCTTCCGCGAAGTGCACCTGGTTGAGGCTGCGCGAGAACTCGCCTTGTTTGACCTTCTGCGAAAAGTCGGCGTTGCTGAGTCGCTTGGGGAACTTGACTCGGCAATTGTTGCCGTGTGGCCGCTTGGCCGCTCTTAACAGCGACGACGCGGCGGGCTTCGACCTTTTGGCAAAGGTGTACGGGATCGTGTAGGGCTGCGCCACGTAGAAGTAGATCGGCCGATAATCCTCGTGAAGATGCGGCTGCTGCGCGTTGCTGAAGCCGCCGCCGCCGCCACCGTTCGCGCAACACCCGATGCTGGTGTACACGCTCGGCGCGCCGTTGCTGCACGCGTACGAGTTCGCGTAATGCACCCCGTAGTGGTTCGCCGTTTTTCGCGAGTTACCCTCCACGACGAGAAAGAAATAAAAATGGAAACGCCGCCGCTCGATTTCACACTCGCCGCTAGAATCTTCTCTTCGGTCAGTTCAATTCCCTCTCGAAACGAACGATCCTCTTGATCGCGATCATCCGAGATCACTTCCGAGACAACAAACGTTCCGTGTCGATCGCGGCGCGAATCTTTCTTCCCGATTCCCGGGAACAAGCTGATTTTGTCGGCGAAAGGCCAGCCTGTCGCTTTCGACTTCGATTAATCAGCGATGAACGTTCACCGTTGAAATCGATCGTGTTCACGATCGATTCGCCCGAGTTCTTGAATTCTAAAATCGCGAAAAAGATCTGAAGCGAAGTTTGTTCTCTTCGCTTCGCGCGGATCGAAGGCAATCGCGTATAAACGCGCGCGAGAATCACGCGGTCGAAACGGATCCGCTTGGTGACTAACGGAGATGCACTCGAGTTTGAGTTTGGAAGCGGCGGGAGGAGGGAGGGTGTGTTCTTTCTCAAGAATAAGAGCTTTAATCTCGCATTAATCTCTCGAGCTGAATGTCGAAGCTCCCGCGTCGCGCGCGCGACGCGGTTCTCTCTTTTTCTCTTATCGCGCGGGGTTATCAGAAGCCACAGGTGGTGGATTGCGTGGCGCGCGTCGTATTCCGCGAGTGAATACCCGGCCCGCTATAATCTTTTATTACACGTATTCCGCCGACGGCGCTGACGGTTGGCGCGACGCGACAGGAAAAAAAAACGCTCCCTCTTCTTAATTGTCACCTTAGGAAGTTTCTCTCAAACGAGAGAGAGAAAGAGACGGCGACGCTTCTTTCTTCTTTACGCGTGTCGCGTTTCAAATCTGACGACACGGCGAGATAATCTTCTCTTCTTCAATCGGCGCTATTGTGCGTGATTTCTTGGGATTCGGAAACGCCGAGGACGTTTCTGATGAATCCACCTCGAGTACCTCTCGATGTCGGAACTTCTCAATGGTATCTTCGAGATACGTGTCTCCGTTTTGTCACACGAGATCTCGCGGTGTGTCAACTGCAAGAGAAATCAGTATGTATAGTTATTAGACAAATTACCACGCGAGATTTTCGCGCTCTGTGTCAACCGTCAAGAGAATAACACACGGAGATTGACGCGCGCGAGAGACGAATGAATGAAGCACGCAAGCGCGAAACGTGCTGACTGACATTTTTATTGGAAATGTCCTTGTCGAGAAAGTGTACACGTACTATATATGTATATATACACAATATACACGACGAGCGCGCTCTTAAAGGAAAAAACAAAACAAAACGTTTTCGTATTTTCGTTCACATCTCTCACAGACACTTCACATTCTTATCAAATTCCATTCTCACGGAACATAATTATATTTCGGAAGGAAAGTTTCTCTACAAACTCATTTTTTTTTTTTTCTTTTATACGACCTCTTTTCTTGTCTCGTTTCTTGAATAAAAAGAGATAGAAAACTTCTTTCATTTGTTCGCTTCTGAAGTTCAGTTCGCTTATTTGTTACACCCTGTATAAAATATTATACTTCAACGGTAATACAACCAACTGTAAAATTGTTTTTCAATTGTAACAGGAATATAATGAGAGAAGGAATGAAAGTATTTGCGAGAAATAGAAAACGAAGTTGAGAGTGTAATCTATGATTTAAATAATTTCGCTTTTGAATAAATTCTCTCGTTCTTTCTCTCTCTCTTTCTTTCTTTCTTTCGCTCTTTCTACCTGTTACATTTCAAAGTTTCACATTGCGCGGCAAGATAAGAGAGCCAAGTTTTAGTATTGTTAAAGTAATGCCTTTGTATGGAGATTCCGCGCAAGAAACAAAAATTGACAAATGGCGTCCGAACCATTTCCGAGGGGGACCGTATAAAAACTTCAGAAAAACAGTCTCACTTCTCGCACACATTGACCTAAATTTGAATTGAAGAGTCGCGAGAAAACGTGTATTTTTAAAGCGAAGGTACATGCACACAAATCTGTCGAGCTGTCTTCTGTTTTAAAGGCGCGAAATGGAATACGGACGTTTCGAGCCACTCACACTACGGAAAGTGTGTGAGAGTGATATATATATATAGAACAAAAATTTCGTTTCCTTTTCTTCTGAACAAGTCTTGCGCCGACTTGCGCCGAGAAACAGCTACTTGAACTTCCGACGTTACGAATTGTTAGCAATTCGTAATAAGCAGAAGATCGGGACAATCGCTAACGGTACGATAAAATTTAAGAGAGGCGCGATAATAACAATCAACCTCTCTTGCCAATCGAATTAATCTCGAGTGTCTAATTACAGCGGCAGGAACTTTATTATTCGCCGGCGTCGAAGGTTTCCGTTTTTATGCTAATATTCGCAACTGTGTATTGCACGTTATTTAACAAACAGCTGTTAAATTCGCATTTCTCAAGTTAAAAAAAAAAAAGACGACAACAACAACAACGTAGAGCTCGCTTGTTTGCAATTATTTGCGATCAAACTTGCTCCCGTACTTGGCGCGCTCGTATTTACGCGAACCGATCGTATCGTCCCCCCGATGAAGTTCGTTCGCTTCGCAACGTTTTCTCCGGGCTTTAAAACCGTGCTACCGTAAAAACTCTTGCGTTGCAATGTCTTGCTTTGCGTTTTTCTCCCGTCGCGTGCAGCAGTTCGTTGCGATATCAAATTTATTTGAAACTACGCGTCGAAAAAATCATTCATACGTTGCTGATTTTATCATTTCGTATCAACGTTATAAAATTTGAAAACGGATTCAAATTCGCGTGGTAAACGTGAGTGTCACCTAACACACGTGGCAGAGTTGACGTAGTGGGAAATTGTTCGGTGATTGGTCATACGCGCGAGATGAAACGAATTTTGACGCAACCGCGCGGAGATTCGCTGGGGATCTCCGTCGCGATATGACAAACAATTTTGCGCGTGACGAAGGCGTTATCACCGCGCGACGAGCGCAAGAAGAGACGCGAAAATTGTACATATACGTACGTATATATGTACACACACGAGCAACGGGGAGAACGGACGGGTTGACGAGGTCGAATGAATGCCGTTAGACCGTGTCACGACACGACTAATACACACGCGTTTCGTGAAACGTCGTCGCTTAAGAGACTCGAGACCGGGAAGCGAGACGGGGAAACACATATACACACAAAGAGAGAGTTCCAGGATCGGAATCCGTGCGATTTCGATTGTCTCTCGGCGTGAAAGCAACATCGCATCGTGAGATGATTGCGCAGCATCTCGAACGTGCTCGACATTCTGTCGAATTAAGTTTATCGAGAAATTCCGTTAAATTATATAAGTTTATTGATATATACTCTACAATTTCATCGCGTATGAGAATAACACGTTTCTTTCTTTCGACTCGCGATTCGTTGGATGTTCCCCGACTTACGTCGGTGTATTTGTCGTTGGTACAACCGGTTCGGCAGTTGATCAGCTCGCGCATTTTTCTCGCCGATGCATGACGCAACTCCCCTCGACACATATTGCCCCCGGGGGCAGAAAGATGCACCGTATTGGCCCGCCGGTGTGTGTGTGTGTGTGCTTCGCGCGAAACTAGGACACGCGCGCGTATGTAAGCTGACGCCGGTGTCTCTTCTTTAAATCCCGAGGTGTTCGAGGAATATAATCCTTTTTCCGTAGTCGGAATTACAATCGACGAGAAAAGATTTTGCGCAGCGCGATCTCTCGATATCTACGGCTATAACGATATACATATATATATATCCTTCATCTGACCCAGAAATCCGACGCGCATTCCGACCGCGGCTGGAACAAGCGGCTCTTAATTTTTCCAGAAAAACCAGGCCGTGACATATTCAAATGCAAAACTTTCGTCGCGCAATGCGCCGTGACGCCTTGATGACAACGCACCGACTAGTCTCATGAATAATTTAATGCCCGGCATATTATAACACGAGTTTCCATTGTTACAAGAGAGGGGGGGGGGAAGGGCGGAGCGCTACAGCGACGGCATTGTGAGCGCATCCCGCGTATCGGCTCATTATCGCTACGTGCGCGGCGCGCATTCCTCCGAGATAAAAAAAAAAAAACCAACCGTTCTAGACACGCGCGATTTCAAAAGCAACGCGCGAATCCGAGAAATAGAATTCGGCGTTCGCACAAATGTTATTTGCAAAATTACGGTAGGTATCGGGGTTTTTTTTGATAGATAATCTTGTTAACTTTTTAACAATCGCGCGTTTGAGATTTCACAAGGAAATTATCTGTTCGTGCAACGATCTCGAAATGAGATGCGCTTTCCAAACGATCGATCACTCAAAATGCCTACGCAAAAGACCGAGAAAGTTTGAAAGCGGTCCATCAGCATCTTTTTTTTTTTTTATTTGCGTCCTCCGGATTGGGAAACTAGAATATCGCGCGATAATCTGCATTTACATCTTACACGTATATGCTATTATTGAAGAAACGTAAAATTTTCAAAAAGATTCGTTTTCACAAGTAACATACAGAGACACGTAAATGAAGTAGTTTTGCATAAATGTAAAATTGTCAAGATATGTTAAAGTTTTAGTTTCGAGATTAATTAAGTTTCACATTGCCACGTAAATTAACAATAATATTATAAGTTTGTTCATGTACGCGGAGAACACGAAATTTTGCTTGTTGAAAGACAAAAGCCGACGAGTCGTTGGCATTGGTTCGCATTGTTCTGACATCTTCGTCTCGTGGAATACTTTGTCCTGAGATGCGACGGATATGCCGCCGCGCGCATCGACAACGAAACAAAAGCGGTCGTATTAAAAGACGCTTCGCGCAAGAAGAGGGCACACGTATTTATGCGAAAGTGACAAACCGTGAGGAATTTTACCTGCATCGCTTTGGCATCGTTTGCATCTCGTTCCGCTGCCCCGACGCGGCGTGCACGTACAACGACGTTTGCCGCGTCTCCCGCGTCGAATTAAACGGCTAAAACTTGAGGTTAATCGGTCCTCACGACGACCTCCTTCTCTCGTGTACTCGCCGTTGAATTTTCCAATTGGCACAACACAGCGTTTGTAACCACAAGCGCAAACTCACGATGTAATTGCGCGCGACGGCAACCGCGTCGTGAGATCACGCACATGCGCTTCCGCGGTGTCGGCCCACAACTGAATTTCAGGCTATTGCTCCTTCTCTTTATCCCTCACCTGGCGAACACCTGTGCTCCGCAGGTGGCACCACCGTACGACTGATAGCGCGCCTTGTCGCTTACCGATCTCGCTGCTGTATCCTGCGCGAAATCGTAAATCGCCGCCGGCTAACGTCAAGTCAAAATGCCGCGCTCCTCTCGATTGAATCTTTAACGAATCGACGGCGTCTACACAAAGAGAGAGAAAGACGGAGAGCGGTGAGAAAAAAAGGCGGCATCGATGATCTCACGTGAATACAAAACTGAGACTAATTTTTTTCACCATGAATATATTTATTACACACAAAACTTTTAGTTTCTTGTAGATTATAGCGTAAAATACGTAAATTATATGAGCAAACACGGAGTTGAAAAAAACTAGGACTATTGTACCTTTTTTCGCAAAAGAGATCGTAAAGATTTTTCTCTACCCCTTTCACATCCACATCGTTTACGAGGACTACTTTTTCCTCCTCTCTCGACTTGTTACAAATCTCTTCGGAAACTATTCTTTCTATGATTTGACTCGCTTCCCCTCTGTAGAAAAGTATTTTTTTTTTTACATGGTCAACATCGATCTCTCCCCTTGTCCCTTTCTGAGAATGCGGTAGTAACAGTTCTACTTTTTCGGCGAAGAACTCTCACAGAAAGTTTTAGTCGCGTTTTTTTGCTCGCATACGCAAATGTTTTGAAAGGAAACGCAGGCCTTTTCGTTGTTACATGTAAAAATTATTGTTTTCTTTTCCCGAAACGCTCCTCTACACAATGTAATATTGTGTAGGAGCGATATTTGCTATCCTACTATTTACCTGTGCCGTCAACCAAAGATGACCGACACAAAGTTTTAATACGCGTGATGTGTCTTGAGTTACGAAGAAGGTCGTCCCCTGACACGTTTGCATTATATATATCTGGTTTTCTTTTTTTTTTTTATATATGTATATGTATATAAGACTACCCGGGAGGGATAGTGAATTTTTTATCTTCCTTCGATCCCGCGCGCGTTGGAACTGAATAGATGACCGTTCAAAGATGTTTAAAAGAAAAAACCTAATAAATCAGTTTGCACAAAAAACAAACGCTCGCTACATACTTTAAGAATTTTGAAATTTCGAAGTTCGGACGCAGTTGTTATTTGAAGATTTGTTAACACAAGTAAGAATATATTATACAAGTAAAAATTATATTACGCAAAAATACATACAAAATATTATATCGACAAAATGTCGATAATTCTATTTACATAAAATAATATATATTAGTTATAATAATATATATTAATTATAATAATATACGATATACTAACAATATGTAATTTAATAATTTGCTAGAAACTGTTTTTCCGCTTCGCTAGATTTTACAAGTATTATAAAAGCCGGTGTACCGCCACGAACAATAAACCTGTGAATAAAATTAAACGTTAACATTTTATGAGGAAGAAAAACGCTAAGAGATATTTATATAAAGTATGTATATCGCAAAATGTGCTCACCGGTCCTCGCGTAATATTTGATCCAATGTGAGTTCAATGTTTACTTTATGAATGGAATATTTGTTTTTGCCTTCGAAATACATATTTATATTATTAACAGTATAATGACGTTTCGTATCCCACTCGGGAGGCTCCTCAAACAATTCCATTAACTGTTCTATCATCCTGTACGAGAAAACAATTTAAAAGATATTCAAACAATTTTTACATCACAGATAAAATATTTCTATATTTGTATGAAAATAACTAGATCGCACACGTACGGAGTATCTTCGTGAAAGTTTTGTATAAAATCAGTTTGATGCGTTTCCGGATATAAAATCATAACCGGCCACACAAGTTTATCTTTCTCATCGAAATGCACTCTGCTCTGCGCTATTTGTGGCACTTGAGGTTCTAGATCCTTCAGTTCTAACTTCCGATTGTCAACTGTCGATTCCAATTTAATACCTTTTCTCAAAATTGTCTCTAACAACTTTTCGTCCTCCTTGTCTAATTTCTTCTCAAGCTTTTCCTGCTTTCTTTTGTCTCTTCTCACGCGCTCCTACATTGACATTCAGTACTTGTAAAATTGTCCTGATCTCATAACTTATAAATTTGAATTCATTAATCTTACTCTCGCTGCTACGGCATCAGATTTTAATTTCAATATTGTCTTATCGGTCGGATTATGATCGAGAAATTGATCGCACAAGTCGATACACTGATCATAATCTTTGATGTGAAAACTGCAAGTGGCAGCTCGGTTCAAAGCCTTCGAATACTGTGGTTTGAATTTCAATGCGAATTTACAGTCATTTAAACTAGATCTACAATTGAAATAAATAATGAGGAACTCATTGCTTGTTTGTTTAACTTTATGAGGAAATCTATACCTATAATTTTTCAACATGAAATGTGCCGCAGCTCTGTTATTGTAAAGTTGTGCCATCAGATCGTCATCTTTGCACTTAGTTCTTATCCCCTCTGTGTAACTAAGAATTGCAAGACGATATTTTTTATATTTATAATTAAAGTTGCCATCCTCTTTGTAATTGTTTGCTAATTCTGTGCATTGGAACAATAATACTTGCGTCAAAGGAAAGCTTATACCAATAGTATTAACAGACAACACAGCGCAAACACTGCGCTTTACTGCCAACTTAAAGCAAGCGGTCCTGTACCTTCAGGAGTATTCTCATCTTCTCCGTACTTGAGCTGTTGCAATCCCTCCATCAGAGGGGACAACTCGTCGCCGGGTTCCGGTGCCTTCTTCATGAAGAAAGGATGCTTCTCCATCTCCTCCTGCCACCGATCTTCCGGCCATCCTTCGGTGTAACTCTTCTTTTCCAGACTGTTTATGTACTCGTCCAATTCGGCGTCCAATTTCGCGGCGAGCTCCAAACGCTCCTCCTCCGTCCAGGTCTTTTTGTCATTTGCCTTGTCCATTGTTCCTTACGGAGTATTTTAAAACCGCACAACGCGTTCGAATTAATTTATATATCGCTTAACAGTTATCCGACGTAACTGATAAGCAAAAGTATTATATATGCGTTATTATAATTCGCGATACGACTTGACTTCTTAGTTTAGTTCTCAGTCTGGTTAGTAAGAACTTCGAGAATCCGTTTGTATGCCAGTTACTCGTGCGCGAAACATAACCTAAAAACGCACGTTTTGTTTGCCCCGGACACCACGTGAGTAGCAGACGATTTGCCGCTTAATTCCTTTTACCGACTGTACGTCAAAAGATGTAGATGGCGCTGGTTGTGTGCTTTTCGATGTAAAAACAATCAATTTAAAATGTTATATATTATATATGCACTTAATTGCGAGAGAAAAAGAGAGACACGTTAATTTTTTTTTTAATAAGTCTTCCACCTTATCACAAAAATATGTTACCAAAACGATATTCACATGTCTCAAGTGGAAAATGGAAAGGAACACGTTGACACACGCGCGCGCGCGATCAACTACGTGGATATTTTTAAATTAATTTTTGTAATTTTCACATTAATTTTGTAATAATATTAAAAACAATCTGTAAAACAAAATATATTCGTAAAATAATTCTTATAAACACACATATATAAAATTTGTAGCGCAACGCCCGTATTTTGGCATTGTTTAACAAACGTCCGTTAGTATTTGTACAGTAATTTCAAATTTTATACATACGTTAATAACACATACGTCTTCCGCCATTGTAATTTTCGCTGTATTGCCCGCACTTACAGCTAATTTTGATTATAATGGATTTACCAGCCAGGTTATTAAATTGACACCGTCAATACGAGACAATTTCGATAATTCGACACTAATTAATACGCAGAGATATATTATTGGATTATTGAGATATTGAGATTACGAGATTCGAGCGTATAACCAGGAGAATTTGGAGGATCCATAATTATTTCAATATATATATATGTAGTAAATTCGGTGTTGCGTGTTGTATTAGAGAACATTGCGTGTCCTCAAATTACCGAACGCGTTTCAAACGTAGTTTTTTATGATCACTTTGCAGTCGATATTTTTCCCTGCGCCTGTAAAAACGTCGGGAAACAGTTTTCGATTTACACGATCATAAATCTCGGACGGACTCTACTCCCGCAAAACAAAAAGTGTCACTTTGACAACGAACTAGGTGTCGTAAATGCGTGTTAAACCGTTTTCTGATACACTCGGTGTCGTAAATGCCTTGAAATCTTTTATTACCCTGCTGCGTTTTTAAACCAATGCGACACACAGTTGGTCAAGTCAATGGTTTTTTTTTTTTTGTTCGAGATCGCTTGTTAAAAATACCGATGTACCAGGCGTGCGAAAGACCGAACGAATAATCGATGTTCGGCAACCAACGAAAACATACACACACGTTCGGCAAATTAATAAATAAACTATTTCGGCGCTTTTATACTTTGCAAAATTAAATTGATATACGTAAACAAGATTTGCGTAATTTAGCGAGTTTGATCTCTGTAAACAAATATAATAAATGTTATCTATCGCTAGTAAATCAATGAAAACGCGAAATCGGTTGAAATACCGCATAACTGTAACTGTAACTTTATAAAATGTAACATGTGTCAGATGCCAGCTGACGCTTATCAATCATCGTTAGTTATACTGAGTCGCCGCATATAAAATGTATAATGCTGTGAGTTTTCGTTTCGAATTTTTTTGCTGGTGTAATTTCTACAGGAAAAAAACAATTTGTACAATTGAAATGTTACATGTATGTATTATTGGAATATTTCAAGTTACGTAGTTTTAATCTTTTTTATTTTTGATTGAAAATAAAATACATTTTACAATAAAAATGAGTTTTACAAAGATGATTGTAAAAAAAAAAACTTGAAAATTGTATTACGCATCACATTTTCTTCGGAAAACTATAAACTGTTTGAGAAAATCGCAGAATAAAACAGTGTTATTTCGAAATAAGTCACAATAATCATTTTTAATAGAATGCAATATTACGTGAAATAAAAAGAAACGATATGTCATAAAAGCGAGATATTTGTATACGCAACGATTATGATAATATGTAAATTTGTGTAAAAGATACACGAAGATAATCGTGACAATCTAGCGAGTATTGCGACATTTATGATGCAAAAAGAGTATATCCGAAGCCCCACGCATGAACGAAAACCTAATAGAGACTTATCAGACGCTCCCCTTTTCGTAAAACAGTCGTTATTTGGGACAATCGTGCGGCGATGATGCGTCGGATAACGGGGGGGGAGAGGGCAAGTCGAGTCGAGTATATAGCGAACGAATCGCACAACCGAGATACAATTCTCGGAATATTGGCGAGAGCCGCTCGCTTAATCCTACCATAAAACCCCATATCGAAAGTTAGGACACCGACGAAGGAGCGAAGCCGCAAAACGCACGTCGATCCACCGCCGTTGGGGTGGTAGTGGTGGTGGCAGTGGCCGAGGATAATGGTGGTGGTAGTTGTAGGGGTGGAAACGACGATCGTGCGTTTCCGCGACCGTTCGGTCGGTAGCCTCTTTGTGTTCGGGTAGGGGCAAGATGGCGCTCGGCGAAAGCAGACGCGCGATTGGTCGATCGGGCTGCGCCGCCAGTCTCCGGAGAACAGTCGCCACCACGACTTCGCGGAGGACTGACACGTCGCGTCGCGTCTCCGAATAGAAGTAAAGAAAAAGGAACAGAACGAAAACACACACACAGAAAGGAAACAAAACACGGTCGTCGCGACGACGGGTGTAATGGCCACTGTGCGGCTCGCGGCGTAAAAGAAGAGGATCGCGCGCAACCTTCGTCGTCGTCAATCGCGTCCGCATCGGCGCGGCGACTGCGAACGAACTTAGCAACGAAAAATCGAGAGGTCCTTTAATCGCGCCGAATTTCGCCGTCGGCCCGTTCGCAAGTCGATATCGGCTCCGGTCGTTACGCGGCTTTCTTTTCGGACGTTTCTTTCATTCCGATTCTCATTTACTTCCGCGGTGAAATTAGTGCTTATGCGGATCACAAGTGTTCTGGCGACCTGAAGTGTCTCTCTCTATATATATATATATATATATATGTGTGTGGCTCGTTGCCGAGTGTGCGTTGTCGCGCTACCACCGCCGCCGCTCGGATCCCTCGGTGGCCACGGACGGTGGATTTATCAGGCGCGGCGGCGGCGTCATCTCCCCTAGGCGCACTTTGGCCCTCGCCACCCTACTGGACTCCCGTTCCCCTCCCGCTGTGACGGCCCATCGACTTGGACGAATCGGTGAGTGCGAATCAAATTTGGAACAGAGGCACGAGCCGTCGGCGCGTCGCCCGCGCCGTCGATCATCTATTTCTCTCTCTGTGTGTGTGTGTACACGCGCGTATGTGCGAGTATATTTTTTTACGTATATGTCACGAATGCATGTGGGTGTGTGTGTGTATGCGCGGCGCCAAAATCAGGATTGTTTCGTCGAGTCTGGCGTTCGGCCGCTGTAAATATGTCACTCGCAATCATCGGGAGTTCGACCGCTTGACCGCGATCTGTATCGGAGCACATTGCGGGCGCGGGTGTAACGCGAGTTTAGCGAGTTGACGCAGGGCCCAGGTTTGTTTTTCGTTATACTGACTGCGCGAAATTCGCCACTGGCCGGCGCTGTGCACGACCGCCGAAATCGCACACACGGGCGTTTACCGCGCGGATAAGCGCGAGAAAATTGAACAATATCGCGTGATAAGAACGCGCGAGGGGATCTTTTTTTCGCGTTCCGTTGATCGCGCAGCGTTGAAAATTGAAATTTATCCGAATTACAAGCAGCGCTCGACATATAAAACGGAACGCCGCGTATGAGTGAACACAGTATAGAGCGCGGGCGACTCCTCTCGAGCGAAGAGGAGCTGTCCGTACGAGAGCCTCGATGTCGAATATCTCGATAGTCTCTCCCGGGGGTAGCCGAGGGCGATCTCTCGATCGACGACCGTGCGCGTCACTCGCGCCGTTCGCGAAATGGTCGTGGTTGCTCGGGCGATTTGTAGTTTCTCTCTCTCTCTCTCTCTCGCTCTCTCTCTCTCTTTACGTGTGTTATATTCTGTTAAATCCCGTGGTTCTCCGTCCTTTGGGTCGTTTCATGATCGAGAGAGTGGCCCCCGTGTTGACATACTCGTTTCGAGAGCGCCGAAAACGGCACGTCGATACGTCGTCGTTTTATCTCGCTAACCACCTATATATACGATATCGCAACGAGTATACCCTACCGCGACCTTCGAAACGACGAAAAACTGCGAGTTATCGCAATAGCGATAGATCCGGTTTATGAGAGAAAATAGATGTTTTTCTCGCACACGCTTCTTATCTGTTTTTCGTTCTAAAATATCGTATCTTATCTCGTATACCTTTGAAATGTGAGTACATCGAAGAACAATATGTAAACTCGATAAATATTGAAAACGTTGAAAGAAGAACTCTGCTCGAGTAACATGATTTTGCACTTTTACTAGGACAACGGCTTCGGCCTGATCACTGTCCTTTCTCGTGCTCACACTCGCGTTTCCAAAATTTGTTTACTTGTGGTAAAACATATAACGCAACTGGATCTCAGGGACTAGCTGGAGGTCGCGGTAATAAACAAATGAGAGGAGAGAGAGACTCGAAAAATAAGCGTGAACGCTGAAGCCAATACCCTTGAGTGTAAAACATTCCGGAGCTTCAATATTTTAGGTCTGTGTTTATAGGTTTGTGTTATTTTATTTTAAGAATTCGACAGAGAGAGAAAAAGAGAGAGAGAGAGAGAATGAAAGAGTGAAATATGTTAAATATTTGTATTAAAATGTTACATTCTGTTTCATCACCGGTGAACAACTGGTTGTGCTTATATTGCATCATGGTGTGTTTCTCGTGCTTGTATATCTTCACATTTTCACTTTATCTTAATTCTTAAAACGTGTACGAAAAAAAAAAACGGACGTTCCATGAACTTTCCATTTCACGGGTTGTTCTGAGTAAGAGAAAAAAATAACAGATTTTTATCTCTACAAAAAAAAAATATTTAGCGTGAACGGTTTACAAAAGGAATTCCTGGCGTTTTTGTTTTTTTTTAGCCAACTCGATATTTATTAACAACTCGGGATAAAGGCGAAGAGATTTGTACGGAATATTTCAGATATGTACGGGACGTTATGTCACGTCTCGCGTAGAAAAAGTCGGACTTTGAGTGCCTGAAAAATCGTTTACGACTCGGTAATAAACCTTGGTATGATAGGGAAACGAAGAACCAGGTTAGTCCATTTTACAAGAGTATCTGCAAGAAATGTTGGACCAGAAAAATGTTGAAAAAAAAAAAAAAAAATTTACGACCATGCGCAAGGATTGGATCACTTTACGGTGTCTTTTTTGTTTCGAAACCATACGTGTTCGAACGTGCCCTAAGCGAGAATCGCTAGGAAGGGGGAAAGAAGGAGGAAGGTGCTGACTGTTCCGTTCGTGTGTCGCTTATGTTAGGATTTCGAATGTGTGCGATCTCTCCAAAACTGAGAGAAAATACAAAGATGTTCGTGCGAATGTGTTTACTTGTGTTTATTCGACTTGGTAGCAAAGAGATATATAGCTGCAAATGTGTCCCGACGCGTAAACTGCCGAAGTATCTTTGAAAACGGTTAAAAGGTAAAACTTCGCAACGCGACCAATTAGTTGAAATTTTACATATTTCAAATATCCACAATGCATCTGGTGTGTTTGACGATAAAAATATGAGCGCGTTCGAAGAGTTAAATATTGCGCAAGCGATATAGAAAATATCTTATCAGAACGGAGTCGATTTTCCCGGAATAGATACGGATATTTAAGGGACGGGTATCTATGAGGAAAATAATAAGATAGAGCGAGAGAGATGCGTCCGCCCGAGTGTTTCTTTGCGCCGAAAATAGTGCACGTATTCACTCGACGTATCTCTCTATTTCCTTTCCTCTTCTACCCGCCGGTAAAAGTCTATTGTCATATACGCTCGCGTAATGAGAGAGTATGCGCGGAGCACGATCAATTTCGGAGGATCTGCACATCCGCTACACGAAAGATGTCGCACCACCCTCTCTTCCCTTCTCTCGCGCGCTGTCGCGGTAGTTTATTATCCCTAAGTGCTCCTCCAGAGTGTCGCTCTTTCCTCTTACCTCTCTTTTCGCTATCTCTCTCTCTCTTTCTCTCTTGCAGCCCGACCTATCTTGCAGCTCTCTCTCTTCTTGTCGCGGACACACGGCGCGGTAACACTTCGTCACTCGTCTCGCGTGTTTCGCGCGACGTGTTTGTTCGCGCGCACGCGTCGTCCCCGCGTGAATGACGAGCGAGAGCAACTCTATGGGAACCAGTTTCCGATTTGCGCGGGTAAACGCGTACGGCGCGCACTTATTACCCGTAACCGAGACTCGTGTCGGCGGCGGCGATAAATGCGAACGACAGGATAACGCGACGAGTGCCGACAAGTGTCGCGCGCTCGGTGGTCGCGGGGCAACGTCACAACGTGTATCGTCGTGTTTTATGCCGCGCGATAATATATTATAAATTCGGATCCATCCATCTGTCTATATATCTCTCTATCAGTATTCCTTGGCCACAAAATGATACTGATAGTTCTTAGATAGTTCTAGTTTGAAACTTTATCCGTTTCAAGAGAAAAAAATGCACGTCAACGTCAGAGAGTGAGTTTCGTGACGTTTCTTCGAATTGCATTTTTCGCTCGAAGTTAGTTTCGCCGAGTTTAGCGGCGTTGGAGAGTGCCTATATTTCCTCACGGATCACCTTGTATACACAATTTCAGATGCCAACATCGTGGAATCGCGCGAGAGCGTGAGCCGATATAGGCATGTTTGCTAATGCATCGTCGATGTAGGTCGTCGTTAACGAGCGTTACGTCTGCGTTACGAGCGAAAACACGACGACGAGACTCCCGAAAGAGGAGAAACTCCGAAATAAAAAAAATAAAAAAAAAAAAAATAAAAAATGCTATGAAGTATGCGCGGAGACTCGTTATCTCGAAATGTCATCGCTTCGTGATTGTATTTGCCGAGACCGCTTTATATACAGATGAGAGAAGAGCTGTTTTACGAAATTCCGACGAAATCATTAAAAAATCGCGCTAATCACGAAACCGGAAAAAGTTAAATACTTCGCTGTGTAACACGCTGTATCATCGCTGTAGCATTTTATTGGCCGAGAACAGATAATGGAAGGAAGACAGGCGACAAAAAAAAAAAACGAGAGATTAAATCGCGAGGTGACAGAAAATATCTCCCGCAAGTGCTTCTCGCCCTACCTGAAACTCGTATTCGAGATTATGTGAAAATTTGTTCTGTTCAAAAGTATAACACACACACACACAGAAATACTTTCGTTGATTAAGTCAGCTGAAACATCGTGTGTTTTCACATGTGATACAATCTCGCGAATTGTGATTACGAAGTTTTCATACATTTTTTTTTTTTTTCGAACGCGAATTTTTCATACAATTTTTTTTCCGATTATTTTCGACGGAATGATATTCTCTTCCACACACCCAACAATATATTTCGCGCTACAATGAATATCCATCCGTTTTTCCGTATATTTATGCACATACCCCTCCCCCCGTATTTGTTTTTTCTATATTTTTATTTTTGTGATTTTTTGGTTTTCTGGATTTTTTTTTTTTTTTTTTTTTTGTGGAATTTTTGTCCAAATCTCGCATTCCCATCGTCGAAACGTTGGCTGTCCTCCAATTTAACGTCTCGCTCCAAAGTTTTTCTTAGCCCAAACAATTTTTTACGCGAGAAAAAATGCTCGCGTGCTCGAATGTCGTATGTCTCGTATTGTGCACGCCGCGGCCGAAAAAAAAAAAACGTGTACGTGTGTGTCGGATTGAGACGAAAAAGAAATCGTAAAACGTAATTCGTGCGTGAGTTAATAACAACGATAAATCAATCACGTGGGAATAAACACGACTTGAAATAGATCGTGTTACGATAATGCCAAAACCGGACTTTAAAAGCAAATCGTTCGCAACAACGAACCGGCTGTTGATCTCCGCTCGCGTATTAATAACATAAATGTGATACACATCTCTCTCAAATGCTTCGAAGCGACACACATATTCACACATATACGCGCGCGCACGCGCATTTAATAAAAAGACATAATATTTGCACGATACAAAAAGCTTTTATTTATCATCACGGAAAGGTCGTGGTGGATGCGCATAGATATAACTGAAAATGAAAACGTTGCCCAAATTGTTCGAAACAATTGGCCGTAGTTTTATC